TTTAGGGTTTGGGGGGTTTTGGGTTTAGGGTTTCGGGTCCAGCGAAGACCAGAAACATCACTAAGACCTGGCCCTTAAATTTTGACCGTGGCACTCACCCTAGGCCATAAGCCCGAATGCCTGAACCCTAAACCCTAAACCTCAAGCGGTTTTGGGGGTGTCTGTGGTTATTTTTGTTGTATATGAGTTGCATTCCACAGTATGCATATATGGTCCAGTCGTTGTTCAGCACTACCGTTAAACGTAATATGGGTAGTGTTCTAAATCGCGTGTCGTTCGAGCCACCTAGGGTAGCATTGTACTCTATGATAAACAACCACCACGAAGCGGAGTCATAGTTTTTTGGGACCTAACATTCATCTAGGACATTTTCAGGTGGGTAGTTACCGTTATAGGAGCCTTCTAGAAGATCTATATACCTGATAAAAGCCGTATAGAAAACCCTATATGCCCTAAACTCCCCACCGGTAGTTTCCTTTAAGCCCCCAAAGCCCGGGCAGCCCGAGCCACTAATCTCTTAATGCCAGCGTTTAGAGTTCCGTGGGTTTGGGTGGCAAAGGTTTTTTGGTCTAAGATGCAGGGTCCAATGGGTTTAGGGTTTAGGGTGTGGCTTCAGGCTTTGGCGGAAAACTGGGATTAGGATTCAGGGTTTAGGCTCAGTGTGAGTTTGGGTTTGGTGTTCAGGGATTATCTAGTGTAGGTGGATTTTGGTTCCAGACTCCAGGGTTTGATATACTTATACCTGGAACTCCACACGCTACACTTTCCCTCCACATAGTAGGCTATGATGTGTTTATTACAGGGTAGAACCCTCAAAATCAGGTTTGTTGATTTTCGGGTAGGCTTCATTATTTAACGAGGTTCCACAGCAGTAACCTGTTGCCCGTGTAATTTTGGGTCCTCCTGATTAACACCGAAGACCAGGACAAAAGGTGCCCCTTAGTATTAAGGGGATACAGGGGAAGAAATTTTGAGGGGCCCCATAAATACCTATACTGTTTTGGGGGTTCCTTATTCTAATTATACTGTTTTGGGGGTTCCTTATTCTAATTATACTATCCAGGACCCAAAAACCTTATTCTAATTAAGGTTTGGTGGGCTTGAGCTCGTCGGCCCTGATCGAGGCTGCGCGGGTTCACAGGTCTACCTACACTGGGGACCAAAAGACCCTTATAAGTAGGGGCCCTGTACCCTTATACTATGAATCCTACATGGTATATGAACCTTAAACTCATGGAAGGTTCATTTCATCCTTAGGATAAAGGGTCATAAGCTACCCCTTGTTTGGTGGATACCTACTTTTCTGGATAGCGGATCTTAGCAACTTAGCCTAAACGGCGGGTAAGGCATGACCCTGTAGGTATGGCATAGACTTCCCAATGGACGGGTGTCGATGTCGGGAGTTTCCGGTTGCATGCACCTGGAGGGCATTGAACGCGAGGCATGTGGTGCTCCAACCCGGTCTCATTTACAAGTGAGCCCGTTCATCGGGCTGTTGCAGGACAATGTCGCAGCACCGAGGCTGCCATGCCATGGAAGCCATGGAAGGATGCTCGGCGTGGGGCCAGAAGCTCAGTACAAGCTCAGTGCACGCGGAGCTTGTGGAGCAGGGCTTTTCTAGGACATGCTGGCTCCTGTACTGAAGCGCGCGGAGCCAGAGCAGGCTCTCTGCAGTTTCAGAAGCCGAGCGCACCAGTGCATCCGACAAGCCGCAAGGGAGTATTTTTTCACGCCGCCGCACGGTCGTCCAAGATGTCGCTGGACTCTTGCGGGCATCGTGGTTTCGGCAGGGAGAGTTGTCATTGCTGACCAGCATCGACTGAGCAGCCCTGTTCATGCTTGATTGTAGGACTCCCTGGTAGTCTGGTAGTAGAGTAGGTAACCTTTAACCCTTTTGGGGTAGTATAACCCATATTATATAACCCCTCTATAATCAAAAATGTTAACCCTCAGTTCCCCGTGATACCAGACAAGTAGCACTCATTTGCAGCCCCTAAACCGCCGAAGTCATAAGTCTTGGTTTAACACGTGCGAGAGAGATAGAGAGACAGAGAGAGAGAGGGTGACTGCCACGATCTCGAATTATCTGCATCCGCATTTGCAATAGCATGACGTGGGAAGATGGACATCTAACGACCGCTGTGTAACAAACCCACCCTCTCCGAAAAAATGGTTGCAATAGGGATCCTACCGTCACGGCCGACAAATTGCCAGGTGTGTTGTAGCCATCAGGACGATTTCATCTTAGGGTATTTTCAATCAAGTCAGAGCTTACAATACGAAGTACCCTTTGCCATGGAGAGCAATACGCCGCCAGTAAGCCTGCTCCACAATACAAGTCAACATGACATGCCGAAGCCCTCATCTCTACGAAGCAGTCCGGAAGTCTCTAAGCACAGAAGAAAGGATAAACCAAGAAAGAACTACCGAAATCCTAAAACTCCAAGCCCGAAACGCTAAGCTCGGAAGCTTAAACCCGACCCCAAAATTCGAGGAATGGCTCCTGCTGAACAGGACCTGGGGGTTTAGGGCAGCGTAAGAGGTGATAGAGGATCAGGGACTTAGATCGCAGGGCTTCCATAGTATGCATGGGACTGTAGGATTGAGAAACTCAGGGCACGTATTTATAGTAATGTTGTCTGTGTCATGTATTTCATTGGGGAAATACGTACTCGCGAGTATAGGCTCCTGACGCCCTACTCAATAATTCCCTTTCATTCCCTCTGAGGGTCCACTACGGGCCCTTAGGGTTTAACATCAAGTGTTTGGGATTCAAGACCCTAGACCCTAAACCTTCAACCCTAAACCCTAAACCCTAAGCCCTAAACCCTAAACCCTTCAGGCTTTGGAGTATATGGGGGAGCCCTGAACCCTGAACCCGTTGCGGGTCTGTAGGGTTTGGGGAGGTCAACTTGGAGGCCCAGGGGACTTAGTAAGTAGGTTATAAGTAGAGTTATAAGTACCCTAAATGGACTTATCCCAATTATAACCCTACTTATAACCGACTTACTAAGTCCCCTGGGCCTCCAAGAAGGGTTCTATACGGGTTGCCTCCGGGTTTCTAACTCCTACCTGGACCCATTTGGGTGTCCTTATCCCTTAGCCACAAAGGATTCATATATTCAGGATTTTGGGCCCTAAGACCCTATGTTGTGAGGCTTCTGGGCGATTTTGATGCTAAGGGTATTATGATTTCCTTATAGCTCCGCAATGTTCCTGAAAAAGCCAGATTCTGAGCACAAGCTTTCTTCAACGATCTGCAGAAGACCAATATCAAGGCCTGTAAACCTGTCCACACTGTCATACACAAATCCTTATGGGGCCATACCAAAATGCTTATACAACCATGTAAATGTACCTGTTTTTTGCATACAGGCACACACACACACATATATACATATATATATGTATATATATATATATATATACATACATACATACATACATACATACATACATACATACATACACATGTACTCATAAACTTTACAGACATTTCTATGCAACAACCACAATGTGCCCCAAACCCGAAGCCCAACTTTAACAAACCCTAAGCCCTAAACCCTACACCTAAAAGCCCTGCTATGGAACCCTTTTTGAAAAGCCCTGCATAGAAGCCATGTTCTTAGTGGCTGAGTTTGTAACCTTTAACCTTTTGGGGCTCTTTTAATCCTACTATAGTTCAAAAGGTTAACCTTTTTTGGGCTAGGGTACTCAGCCCCAAGGTTTTAGGATTGCAAGGAGGTTCCCTGCTCACCCAGCCGGCAGCTCGCAGCTGCAGAAGAGGCCCCCCGCACCGTTTCTTGCAAGGATCGACGAGGGTTTTTGGGTTTAGGGTTTGGGGATTAGGGTTTGGGGTTCAGGGTTCGTTGAGTTTTTGTGGATCATATCGGGTTGCAAACGGTTTCGTTTACACAATTTTAAGGTGTTAGTTACGTTACAGAGTTCTGCAAGGGGTGGTTTCATGAGGCTTAAAGTACGGCCAGTAGGCCTGGGATTTATGTGGGGTTCAGGGTTCCAAGCCCCAGACATTTCTGAGGGCAAAGGTTCCTGCTTTTCAAACACGGCTTGCCAGCGCAAGAGCACCATGTGTTGTTGTTTAGGTCATCCGACGCAAATTAGGGAAACCAAGGCATTCGGGAAGCCCATCGGAGCTCCTCTAGGTATCTCAGCATTCTTACCAGGAAGAAGGGCACCCGTCTTACTAGGGTGACACTGGGGAATCTAGTCCTACAGGCTGGTGCGCGAGTATGAGGTCCAAGTACGGACATAGTAGGGTTTAGTTGGGTTTGGGGTTTAGGGTTTAGGGTTTAGGGTTTAGGGTTTAGGGCACATTTTGGGGATCCAATACCCGAATACTTGATCAGCATGACCCTGAAGGTTAGTGTGTAAATTGGAGTTAGTGACTTGGGATTCCGAACGGTTGCGGCTGTCGGGCTACTTGAGTAAAGGCCCTATGCTAGATATTCCAATATCATGAGGTTCGGCTTCTTTTCTCGGGGATCCCAGGCATAACTTTGCATGGCGCGCTGTCTTTGCCGTCGGTTCACCATAATATGAGTTCAGCGGAACGGCAGCTGTTGTTCCTGTGCCGTGGTGTTGTCCACAGCAGGAATGCAAGTGCTTACGCTGCCATGAAATATCTGCAGATCCTGTTCGAGCCGAGCGCAAATTTCAAAGAAAAGCACCTAGTTAATATAGGGGCCTGCATAATTGGAATAGGGTTCAAGGGTCTACTATACTATAATTACAATAAGGAACCCCCAAAACCCTATTCTAAATATTATGGCCTTATACTAGGTTCTGTGATATGTTGCTGTTGACGGAAAAGCTAGTTTTCTGGTCCACAACCATATTTTCCTAAGACAAGGTTGGTTTTTCGGTCCAAAGCCATCGTTTTCCTAGGAAGCATTTGGTATTTCATTCAAAAAGCAAGGTTATCCTAGCAAAACGTGTGTATTTCATGTGTTGTTTGCGCACGATAGGATTTCGTGTTGTCATGAAGGTTCCAGTGCCATTACTATGGGGATTCGATTCCGCCCAGCATTAACAACCAGGACACTACGATCAGTTTGAGGGTCAATCGAGAGCTAGTACTCAGGTTAAATCGTTTAACTCAGAGCAGGACCCAGGATGTCAGGGTTTTCACGAAAACTAAACGAGAAAAACATCGGGGTCAGATTATGGGTGGTACTAAACCCTAAACCCTAAACCCCAAACCCTAAACCCTAAACCCTAAACCGTACTAAGCCTACTATGGATGGCCTTAGGGTTGCTGTCCGGGCGAGTATTACGGCGGTCACCATTGACATATGGGCGAATGACAAGGATAGGGTTTGGGGTGATGTTGTTTGGAATCAGGAGTCAGTCAACGATCCGCATCGTTATGTTGGTATCTAGTACAGGTTGAACCTTCTAGGGTTCGCATGTGTATATATATATATATATATGTATATATATATATACACATGTGTACATACACGCATGCGGGCACAAGTCCGACATGATCATACACTACGGTGAGAAGGGGGTGCCATATACAATATTCTATGCTGGTCTCATCCCTAATACCTAAGGGCCATCATTCGGGGAACGCCAGAGTGAAGATAGCAAGGATCGTGGTTGTTACTATGGAATTTATCCAATAATCAGGTACTTTGGTGACGGATAGTAGTTTTCTAGGTCAATATTTGGGGGATTTTATGATTGTTAGGTACTTGGAGCCTAGGAAGGAAGTTCCATGGCGCGAACACTCGCACGGCAACCCTTTGTGGCAACAGGGGAACTTTCTCTTGGACCGTGCAACACCGTCATCAGAGCCCCTTTACGGCCTGAGTCGATGCTATATACTCGCACGACGCTTAGAGCAATGAACCTGAGAACCCGCGGATCTCAAGTCACCCAGCAGGAAGCCCAAGATGAGCTCCAGGAGGATGCTTCAAGTGGCCCAGTCGCATTGCGTGGTGATTTTGAGCTTGTCTAGCTTGCGGAGGGAGGTTGGTCCTAGGCCTGCTGCTGGGCCTGCTGCTGCACCTGCTATTTCGTGCGTATACTACTACTACGACGACGACGACGAAGACCATGGCGACGGCGACTCCGACTGCCATTGCTGCGACTACTGCTACGATACCGACAACGACGACCACAGCGGCGACGTCGACGGCCCAGGGCGTTTGGTACGATTAACTTAACCCTGAAACCCCCTGAACCCTATAAACTTTGTAAGGTTACCTCAGACCAGGGAGGTTCACGGTTTGTCGGGCGTACTATGCGAGCCTTAATCAATAGAATGGGGTTTGGTGTAGTTTTGGGTGTAGTTACAATGAGGACCCCTCATTCAAGAATAGTATAGGTAACCTTAATGGTCCGGGTCCATGTACCCAAATTGTAGAGACCTGGGCCTTATTATAGTAGTCCCTATGTCTACTTTGGGGCCAAAGCATAACTATACTGTTTGGGCACATGGAACCTCAGTGAACTCACATATACTCCCCAAAATAATACCCAGAGGGTCTAAGTACCCATATCGTAGATACTTTAGGCCCCAAAATATCTACCATATAAGTACTTAGACCCTTCCTTAAGAACCCAAAACCTGCTTTTTTGTAGGGTCCCTATAAATCCATATTAGGGTTTACACTAAGAACCTACAAAAAAGTAGGTTTTGGGGTTCTTAAACCCTAAACCCTAAACCCTAAACCTTAAACCCTAAACCCTAAACCCTAAACCCTAAACCCTAAACCCTTAAGCTACATGGAAGATCGAAGTCGGACACCTCGAGCCGACCAACGAGCCTGGCGTCCTAACCTAGATCTTAAACTCTAAACTTGGGTTTAGGGTTTAGGGTTTAGGGCTTAGGGTTTAGGGTTTAGGGTTTAGGGTTTAGGGTTTAGGGTTTAGGGTTTAGGGGTTTAGGGTTTAGGGTTTTAAACCCTAAACCCCTAAACCCTACCTGGGCCCTACCTTGTTAGGGTTCCTTTGTACTACATCTTTCAGCTTCCTTACATAAGCCCTTAGAGGGGTAGGGCATTTGGGGCTGCGGTAAATGCTAGACCTAAAGCCTTATTCAATCCTTTATGGCAGGAGTTTTGGTTGCAGGCCAGGTTCGTATAGTGTAAGTGCACAGCCTTGATTCTGAATGCTTACGCACTTTCAATTCCATTCCTTTAAGAGTCCGCTCTCTTTTACCACAGGATTTCATCAATAGGGGTTTCGGGTTCACGGGTTACCCAGAGGGTGCATTTGGGTGTCGAAAACTCATTCATGCAGGAACCTGATTAAGAAACCCTGGTCCTAGAACCCCGAAATATTAGGATCCGTATAAAGAACGTTAAGGAAGACCCAGCATTTCTTGATCAGGTTTCTACTCCTACACTATTGGGGCATTTGGACCCTTGGAGCCCAAGACGCCCAAAAAATGGTACGAACACATCAGCCTGTCAGTAGGTGTAAGGTGATCGGTACCCTTAGGGGGGTGGGGGGAGGGGGGTAAGGGACCATACTTCCTTAAACAGGCCTTATTAGGTCCTTGTTACAGGGTCCCTTACCCCCCTAAGGGTCCTTGTGATAAGGTGACCCTGCAAGCGCACTGATGACGGCAGCAACTGGGCTTCAGCCAGGAGTTTGCAGGGTGCATGTGGCTGTGGTACAGATGTTTGTCTTTCATTGGTGCTGCATGTAGATTTGGGTTTGCGGGGTTGCAGCCCAGACCATACTTGTAACCCCAAACCCCAGAAACTAATGGGGCATCGCCGCATTATTTCTGGATATATCATCTCAAATCAGGCGGTTATTATTGGATCCGCAGGTTGTCCCTAAACCCAAAACCGATATAGCTCTTGTAACGCCATGTTGTAGCGTCCAAGCATCATACAGTCTGCCCATAGCACGGGTTACCCCGACCTTTCCGATGCCATCGGCTTCGGCATGTTGGTTGTGCCGGTGGGTTTCGCTCATGGCATATGCTCGGGCTTGATGTAGAGCCTTTATCTGAGCCAGGTCTCCCGAAGGGATCCCTTGTTTGTTCTTGGTTACTGGGGATCCTGGTTGTATAGCTGCATAACCCTCCAAACGGTAGGTTATTGGATGCACACGGTGGTGCCACGCCGCAACCCCCTCCCTCTCACACCACTTCTGAGGCGGACCCGCCGCTGTCGCCGCCCATGCATGAGCACTAAGCACTCTCGGAAGGCGTCACCATCGTGATGGCAACGATCACGCCATCCCTAAGTGTCCATGTACTTAAATAGTATATACTTTGGCCTTAAAGTAGTCCCTATTTGGGTACTTTGGGGCCAAAGTATCTACTCTTTGGGTACATGGACCCTTACGGCATGGACCGGACGTCTGATGTGACAGAGCGCCAAGGAGATCCAGCAGATCTCGATCTCGAGCACAGCACAGTCGACTTCATCGCGCCGGTGGCCGCAGCAAGGCGTGCAAGGCCCTAAACCCTAAACCCTAAACCCTAAACCCTAAACCCTAAACCCTATACCTTGCTTTTCAAGGAAGTGTGGGCCCCAACCCCACCCTCGAGGGCTCGACGACCCAAACTGCGACCACACGTGGGGCGCTTATGTCTTGAAGGTGGCGGAGGAACTCGGCGAGGAAGTAAACCCTATACCCCAAATACCCTAAACCCTAAACCCTACACCCTTTAAGCCCTAATCCCCAGCATGGATCAGCCATTGAGGCTTCCACAGGCTTCGGGCTTTGGTGTTCGGTTGCTTTCGTGTTACGGCTTAAGGGGTCTGGGGTGGTTTTGGGTTTAAGGGTTTAGGGTGTGTCAGGGATTCAGGGACACAAAAACTAGTTTGGGGATTGGGGTTCGAGTCGCGAGAAGGATGAAAATGGTGTACAGGGTGCGAGGTTTAGGTGGTTCTCTTGTGACAGCTGCTGTTGAGGCTGCTTGCAATCGTGGGTTTTCTTGCCAGCCATGGTGTGTGGTAGGAGCCGTTTGTCCTGAAAGCTTGTCCTACATCTGCAGTCCTGAGATCTTACTTTGCCGAAAGACGGGCGACTGCGGCCGATGCTTCAGTAGGTTGATCGCCGATATGGTTCGACTCACGACAACACCCACAACACTCGGGCCCCATTCTCACCAAACCTTAAAACACATTCCCTAAACTATGCCTTCTGATACAATTGCCCCAACACCGTATTCGAATCACAAAGATGTGTAAGATGCTTATAAACCTAACTGTATTCATATGTATGTATATATATATATACATACATACATATCAGTATATATATATATATATACACACACACGTATACATGTGTACATTCAACCGCATATTCATATATGTTGCTGCATGCTACCGTTTCTTGACCTATAACACACCCTAAACCCTAAACCCTAAACCGTGTATAAGATGCTTATAAACCTAACTGCCCCTATAACTGATTAGATCTCAGGCGATGCATGCCTACGACCATGGCTACGGCAAGCCGGGGCCCCTGGCTTCTGTCAAGGGGCCCGCCGCAATGCTGCAGGAAAGTGAGGGTTTAGGGTTTAGGGTTTAGGCACCCTAAATCCTAAACCCTAAACCTTAAATCCTAAGTCCTAAACCCCCAAGCCCTAGACCTTCGCAGCACGAGGCCATACCTCACTAAACCGATGTGCCCTCACTGCCATACCCGAACCCAAACGGCTGCATCCCCAAAACGCTGATTTGACCCCCTGAGGCTCCCGATCGGGGCTCCTACGGAGTAAGTTTGGGGCCAACTGTATATGTTTCATGGGGTCAAGGGGTGTTAGGGAATCCGAAGACCCGTACGCCAGAGAAGGGACAGCTTGTCCGGACCCCATTCACGGGCCCATGCAAGGCTGTGTACAACGCCAGAATAATGGAGCCTTCAAAGTACCCTTTAAAGAGTCATCCAACATCCCTTACCCTTACCCTGAACCTTACGCCCTGCAAGTTGCAACCCCACAGAATGTTGCTCTTGCGCTCCTAGGTGGGAAGCCTACGATGTGGAAGCAGCACTTCTCGAAGTGTACTCCTTGGTAACTGTAGGGTATGGGGTCCCAGTTTCATAGTTCACGGTTTGGGGTTTAGTGTCTACAGGTCTCCGTCAACCTAGGGCTCATCAACGGTTTCCTTAAAGAGTTCCATCAGGGACTCTATCAGGGAACTACAAGGGATCTACAAGCATTTGCAGTTCTGGGCTTTAGGGTTTCGGGTTCAGGGTGTACTGTTTAGGACTCAGGGCTAAGGGGTGATTTGAGTTTTGGGAGTAGGGTCCAGCAGAGGACGTAGGAACTTAGGATGAAGGGAACTTGAGGTTAACATAGGGGCCTTAACAATTACCCTCAAACCTGTTCTAATGACTCAGGCCCCTCTATTATTTGTTCCCAAAGATGCTGGTTGCCTCTGGCGGTTGCTTTTCGTTTGAGAGCTGCGGGATCAACAAATCCCAAACACGAATGGTCCAAATACCTGATTATCATATACTCTACAGAATTAAGATAGTAACCTACATAACCACTATCCTAAACCCGAGTACCCAATCATTGGGTGCTTTGGACCCTTGGGGTAAACACCAAACAAACTCGAAGCCCTGGATCCTATCCCATCCGAATGCGGTCTGCAACCCTTAAACTAGGTTCTTGCTGCGGAACCGAGTTTCAGGTTTGAAGTTTAGGTTCAGGGTTTAGCGGTCTAGGGTTTAGAGTTTAGGTTCAGGGTTTAGGGGCTGAGGGTTTAGGGTCTGAGTTGCCGCAATCTGCAAACTGTATGATCTATCATCGACCCCTATGCCTATTATGGTAGCTTAGACTAAGTTCATAAACAAGAACCCCTTAAACCCCAAACTCGAGTCGAGACCACAAGCCTTGAAGCTCCATGGTTCTAGAAACCCTACAACCCCTACAACAACAACGTGTCGATGAACTCAAGCCTAAGCCCTGTGAGCCCGAAACCGCCGAGCCTCTGTTCGTTCCTTCATCTGGCCTTCCATACAGGCCAGAACGATGCTGAATTACCTTGAGGGTCCTACCCTCCGCCTTTTCCGGGTACCTGGTTTTATGGTTAGGACCTGTTATCATTGCTATCAGTATCTTCTCGCTTGCAATCCTTATCCTGTTGTCCTTCTAGTCGGTTTGCCTGTCGCCTACCTTCCCTGTACCGAGTTTGCCTGTCGTTGGGTGCAGTCGTTTAAGGCTCTACGGTTTGAGGTTCAGGGTTGAGGCTGCAGCGCCCTAAACCCAATGGTCCAAGTACCTAATCATTATACTATATACTCTCTCAAATATTTACCTAGGTTACTACAGTCCGTATCATGCCAGTTCCATTTTCATTGCGCAATATTGCGCACAGACAGTGGCGAGTCTAAAGCAAAGCTGGCTGATTGTATGTGGAGCCAGGGCGAAGTCATCGGCTAGGCCTACAAGCCAGGCGCAGCCCACATCCCGACACCATGATCGCACACGCATGGACAGCCGCTCACCGCGTGTTCCCCGAGAGAACCGCGACTACTACCGTGCCAGTGACAACCCTTTGCTTCGTCGCGCAGATCGACAGGGCCGCAGCCGCATCCCCAATCGTGCTCATTTGGTCCCAGCTGAACCCCCCAGTTCGCTGCAGCAATTCATCGGGAAGCTGCTGCAGGAACTGACACATCTGGAAGTCGGCAGGCTATACTCACTGCTGGGAGCTGGACGTCTCCGGCAACTCGCTAGAGAACAAGCCGCCGCTGGCTCTCTCACTGAATATGTTCATGAACCATGACCTCGAGAGCTTATTTCCCGTTAGATAATGAATACATACCTGAATCAATCAGAGATCCGTAATATGAGCTCAAGTATACAGGCTTATATGTTTATTTTACATATATATATATATATATATGTATTTATATACACACAGCTATACATATATATATATATATATATATATATATATGCATACAGCTATATGAATTCCTAAGCATTTTATCTAAGGGGTGTTATGGGCTTGCAGAGCAAGGAACCCTTATTGGTGTTTGGGGTTCAGGGTTTGGCGTTTGGGTTTTAGGGTATACCTGGACCCAAAATAACCTACCTTTGCAGGTGTCCTTGTTATCGTTTCTTGGTATACGTCCTTCAAAAAAGATAGGTTCTTTGGGGGGGGATTAAGGTATGGCTGATGATAGGTAGGTTCTTTGGGGGTTAAGGTAGGTCTGATGGGTTAGGATTACAGTTCAAGGTGTAGGGTGTAGGGTTTGGGGCCTAGGGATTCCTACCAACCTGGTGAACTTGATTCAGACTCCCAACCAAGAATGCCAAAGCCCGAACCTTCTCTGACAACAGTAAATGAAGATCTGAAATGAGCATTTTGAATCCTGAAGTCCTGCTGCCTGCAAGCCCTAAATCTAAAACCAACCCTAACCCGTAACAGCCCACACACTACCAACTGCGAGTAGATGGACTGGTATCCTCCTTGTAGAAACCCTCAACCCTAAACCCAAAACCCTAAACTCTGAGAAACCTTTCTTCTGCCCGCACAGCAACCTTTGCACGAACCCAAATGATCTCCCCGAGGTTGATGGCGTAGCACCTCGGAAGGCCAGGAAGCGCAAGCAAGGCCTGGCAAAGTGAAGTGTGCGGTTTAGGGTTTAGGGTTTAGGGTTCAGGGTTTAGGGTTTAGGGTTTAGGGTGTGTGTTCGGTTTAGGGTTTAGGGTTTAGGTACAAGGCCTTTTATAGGCTTTGAGACGGGCGCTGTGGGGCTGCGAAGTCCTTCTGTGTAGCTTCTACTGGCTAATTACTGATTTACAAGACTTCAATTACCGTTTTGGGGGGCCCGGTTCTTGAAAGGCACCCATATGAAATCAGAGTTTATACGTCTTTCTCCCTGGTAACTTCCAAAGCCCAGCTATGGGGTTTAGGGTTGGAGCGGGTTTCGGGAGGCCGGGTTTGTTTCAGTACCGTAAGGCTATAGAAAACCACCTAAACAGGGTTTAGGGTTTAGGGTTTAGTACCTCCTAGTTCGTTCTTAGTGTGAGGGCCCAGGAACCTTTGGGTATGATCTGCTCCTGAATGATGGTGCTTCGGAGTCTCGTGCAACAGATGGTCGCCCGAACGGGCACAAGGGTTGAGAGCTCAGTGTGTAGAGATTCGGGTTGACCTTGAGTTTAGGGGTTCAGGGTTTAGGGTTTAAGGTTTAGGCTTGAGGGTTTACGGTTTAGGGTTTAGGTTTCAGGGTTAACAGATGGGACCTTTCGTAAACCCTTCTCTATGATGACCCTGTTGCTCGAAGTCAGGGATGTTGCCTGAATATCAGGATTAGGGTTCAGGGGAGCAAGAGCAAGAGCACAAGCAAGAGCAGGAGTTAGAGCAAGAGCAGGAGCAAGATCAAAAGCGGGAGCATCAGCAAGAGCAGAAGCAAGAGCAAAGCAAAAGCAAAAGCAGGAGTAAGAACAAGAGCAGGAGCAAAAGCCGGAGCAACAGCAAGAGCCGGAGCAGGTGCAAGAGACGCAGCAGAAGCAAAAGCCAGCGCGAGAGCAAGAGCCAAAGCAGGAGCAAGAGCACGACCCCTCAAAAGTGGCAGTAGAGATAAAAAAAAAACCCCTAAACAAAAACACTTTCCGATGTTCTATTGGGGGGATCCCCCCGTTTGATATTAGGGTTCAGGGTTTTAGGGTTTAGGGAAGGGTTCTGAAGTGTGCTAAAGTTCCTTGATGATATGATTTGGGGGCCTGGTGGGGCTTGTCACTGGGGATCCAATAACTTATTGTTATAAAGGCCGTACCCTATATACTGATAGGGCATAAGCTACTATTTCTAGGGTTTGGGGCTGCCTGTAAGGTTTAGGGGCTAAACTTGGCAACAGTATTGCCAATGTCCCAGTGGACATACACCCAAGATTCAGGGGGAGACATTTTGGGCCTTGGAATTTTGGAATAGGGTTCGGGGTAGGTTACAAAGGAATAATGTCGCGCATGATAGAGGTCCACATGTTATGTTTAAGACATATCGGAGCTGCAAGTAACCCATAGAACCCGGTCTTATGTGGCACCACCATACTGCCAACAGCTCCGGTATGTGGGCAATGGGACTCTTAGTGATGCAAGAAGGAACCCCAGGTCTTGTTGTGCTTGCTTTGACACGATGATACGCACAACATGTCAGCAGCTGTTTCGGAGCAAACCTTGCAAGTAAGGTTAGTGCTTGGGTTCAGGCACGCAGACCAAATCGAAGTGTTCGTCGACGTTTGGGTTGTAGTAGTTATTGAGCTGGAATCTGAAGACATGCAGACCACGAGACACGGAGACCCCAACTTCACAACCAGGTATTGGGCTCTCTGCGGAGTCCTGCTTCCGTGACGCCATGTCTTTGTCCTTCTGTCCGTTTCCGCACAGCACGCGAGATCAAGCTGCATGGCAATGCTTCGACTCGTGAGGGCTAGCCCTACAACGGTGCATGTACGCCTATAGTTTGAATAATCACGTTCTACTTAAGATATCCCCCAAAGTTGGTGTACAGGAAGTCACACTTCAACAAATCTGGGCTCAGACAGCTACCAATCCGGGAACATCTCTAGATATGTATGCCCCTAAATTAAAATCCCAAAACCCCAAAACCCCAAACCCCTGAACCCTGAACCTCAAGACACCCAAGGCTGGACTGATCGTCTTACGGGATCAGCGTTAGGGTTGAGGGTTTAGGGTTTATAAGGGTTTAGGGGTAACATACTTTCGTAAATAACAGGGAAGCCTCAACATCGTCGGGTTTCTGGGGGGGGGGGATAGGGTATAGAGCCCTGACTTGCACTTGTCTGCAGGTGACAGTTGGGGTCTCATTGTCTGGGCCAGTGAAGAGTAAATCTAAGTGGGTTTACTGTCTGGTGCTTAGTAGGGAATGGGGGAATGGATCCCTATGATAGTCCCTTAAGGTCCCTTATAGTCCCTAGAACCCATTCCCCCATT